TGATTATATTCGCCGATAATCAAAGCCGCGTGCGTTTATTAGTCGCCGAAGGAGTTTGTGTCGCGCTTTGAAAAGAGTGGCCCACTTTCGAGGTGAGCAGACGAAGCCAGACTCCTTTTAAACGTCATGTGACCCACTTTCGAGTCGCTGCATTTACCCAGTCTGCGCCGTCGGACAGACACTGAATGGGCCACCGCGCGTCCGCACAGACTGCTCTCCTCACACAATCGAATTTATTCATTATTATGTATGATAATGGCTCGGCAGATCGAGTCAGCCGCCTTTCCATTTCTTGGAACAATTATTTCCGTGCTCGTGGCGCAGAGCGGCGCTTTTGATGCAGCGGATTCGCGGATGCAGGATGTTTTCTATACCTCGATCGTCAACCGCTCTGCCGATGCTGCATCCTATCAAACAATTCTGATTTCACGATTTCCCCTTATTAACAATTTTAATTTATGTATCCAGGTGGGCAAAATTTATATTTTTTTCCCAGATTTTTTAAAAATTTGGTACCCTATTAGTCAGGATAGATGGATACCATTTTTTTAATAAATAATAATAGTATGTAATAATAGTTCGATTGTAAAATACCTAGTTTATTTTATTTTATTTACATACATTCTCTATTTTTTTCTCAAAGATTATATGAAAAACTTGTGTTTAATATTATATCATATTTAACATTTTTAATAATTTAATGAATCAAAATTATGTAAACATCATTAATTTAAATTTAAAAAAAAAAAAAAACATCAAAACATGAAAATTTCATAGGAAGTTTTTTTTATTTCTTCACTAAATGATTAAAATGAATGATAATATATTGTATGTAATAGTATTTGGGCAAAATACCATTTATTTTTTACAAAAAGCTATTTAATTACTGTGTCAGCAAGCAATGTATTTCAATTAAATTTTGACAAATGCGCAAATCTCACTCTGCGGTACACTCGTTATTATCTCGCGATAGTATCTTGTTTCGCCGCCGTGCAATTCATCACCACACATCCTGCGAAAAAAGCCGGGGCGGAGGAGAGGCGGCGCGCGCAAAAAGCGTTGCGGGCTTATTAAAGCCGTAATTACAAAGCCAGAGCTTGTTGAGGATAAACTTTTTGCTCAGTGGCCGCGCTCTTTTAATTAGATTGCCGCGCGCTGCCCCGCAAGATTTTCGGTCTGTAGATGTGTGTCTAGTCACGAAAACGCGTGCATTACACGATGCTGCTGATTTTACTGCACGACGTACTCTGATTCTCCTCCGCCGCCGAGACGATTTATGTAATTTCCCTCGTCCGTGCACTGCTCTCGTTTACGCCTAATTTTCAAATTTTCCAGTTAGGCGCAAGTGTTAGACGCTTGGTTAAGCGTGCAAAATGGCGCGGCCAATTGATTAATTTCCAGATTTAATTCAACCGAGTGGAGCTTTAAATTAGCCAGACCCGTTTTTCTCATTCTCGATTAATTTGCAAATCAGATCGTAACTGTCAGAATGTGATGTTTTAATCCAGAACGAGGAATTTAAAAATAAAACCAGCTTAATTACACGAGAAACTCAAATTTTCATTTTCCGCATGAGTCGGTTTGTGGATTTTTTCTTCAATCTGTAATCGGACTTTCTCGGCATCGCACAAGCAATTTCACCGCAATTACCCCTTTCTCGATTTCAACCTTTTTGCCCACCACGGTTTGCAACGTTTTCCATTATTGTCCGGCATGACAATCGAAAAGCCTGCTGAACTTTTTGTGCACTTCCCTTTCACACAGTGTTATTATTTGCGGTCATAAATCAAAAGGCGCTGCAAAGGTAGGCGATCGATCGGCTTCCTGAAATCGTTCATTATTCGCATCTCCATTCATGAAATAAATTGTGCAGAAAAAACACACGGGTGTAAAATTTCATGGAGGAAAAGTCGGTGCGGCACCGCTTCGGCCCAGAAACGGGCGCAGACATGCACCTGTCACCGCGCTGTTATTCGCGAGCTAATGGGATTCTCTCAGCCTTTGTGTGAGCAGAGTGTGTGTCTGAATGAAATCCTGCAAGTGCCACTTTCCTACCGAATAATATCGTGTAATAAAACACACGCCAGCTGATGTGCTGTCTGGTCTGCTAGTTTGGTGCGGTTCAAAGGAAATCAGAAAAAGATGCGCGCGCGATTCAGGCGGGCACATGGTCTGTGTCGTAAAAAAGCAGCGGGAGGAAAAAAACCAAACCGAGGGAGGAACCTTTGCACTCGCTCACTCTTTCATTCATTCAGTCCTTCTTTCTCCGTGGAGCAGCAGTGCATGAAAACAGAGTTCATTCAGAAAAACACAAGATAAATGAGGGGGCGAGTAAAATAATACAGCAGGATATGACGTCAGCCGAGACGTCTTCCAGTTCGTCTTTCTCCGTTTGCTCCAGATGAACTTGCACTGTTTACTGCAATGCTCGCTAATTTGCGACAAATTGGTTCATGTCACTGCCAAGCTGCGGGCGAGAATGGCTAGTGCATGAGATCTGCTGATGTTTAAAATAAATAATCAAAAAAATAAAAAAACAAATAATAATAAATAAAGAAATCCAGTTCTTTTCTGGGTTTAAAAATGAAAAAGCGCTACTTTAAAAAAAAATTTATTTATAATATGTTTATAGAAAAATGAAAATAAATTAATTAAAAATTGCTTGTTTAGCCAACATCAATCTTATATATTCTTCTTGATTTAAAAAGAATTAAACGATCCAATAACAATAAATATAACAATTTTTGCTTTAAACCTCACAAGCAGTCAGCATTTGTGCAGCTTCTGCACGCAACCCGCAGTGCATCACTCGGCCATGCACATGAAAGGAGCGAGATGCAAATTTTCGCAATCGAATTGGCGTCCGTTGCTGTTTGTTTGTTATATCATCGACGCAACTTCCTCCTCGTTTAGGAAGCTGATTCATCCTCCGACCGGCAGGCACCACATGCATGAAACATAAACGTTTAATATGTTAAAATCGGCCGGTATATAGATATGGAACGCCATTCATGAGTGAGTGAGTGTCGGTGGCGCTTTCTTGGAATCGACGCCACGACTCTTGAAGCTGACGCGCTGCCTGCTATGACTGTGCCATTTCGAGAGGTTAGGAGGCGTTCTCGAGTGCACCTTTCCTCGTTGTGTTGCAAATCGTCCCGCTCGTGACTGATTGATTTGCATATTAAGTGCATTTAAACTTAAACTCCTTCATTTTCACGGAAGATTGATTTCCCATTGTCTGATTTTTTTATGTTAACAAAAGTCAATTGCAATCGCTCCGGAGATCTTTAACCTCCTGGGTATCAAAAAGCCGTGCAAAATTAATTTTCCAGCCAAAAAGGAAATAAACATAATATAATTATATATTATATTTAATTAATTAATTATTAATTCAGTAATATGCATAAATTAAATTAAATATAATGTTTTTAGTTTTATAACTAAAGGTAAAACTGATATCATATCAAAATTTAGTTTATGTATCAAAGAAAATTTTCAATTTTGGTTTAAAAGTCAGGGTCAGCACAATTTGTTGGTCAATTACACCGCCATTAATCTCAATTATCAGCTGTTATAAGTATGATACACGTGGGCATTAGTAACAATCGACAATAACTTTTGCACCTTGGAAACGGTTTGGCTGCTTTATTATTGTTATTATCAGCAGCACCGGCGTGGCAGCGCCATGTAAAGGAGCCGCGCGGCCCAAGGAACGAGCAGCAGGTTCATTCACCTCCTTGTGCCGCCGCTAAACACCATTGCAGAAGCGAAATACGAAATGAGCTGTCGACGGCGCCTCCCTTTGGTTGACAAATCGTTGGTCAAAGTAACGAGATTTCGAAAAGAGTGCAAAGTGGCTCTGATAATTAGCGCGCAGCATCTGGCGCGACTTCCTTTTTCGCCGAGGGAGGGTGACATGTGCGGCAAAAACAACTTGTTGCTTCAAAGAAACGGCAAGGAGGAAACGCCGGAACACGCGTGCGCTGCTTCTTCTTTTCGGAGGGCACTGATTTTCTCCATTCAGGGTCAACACTCCATTTCGGGTTTTAATTGCGGCTAATCATCCGCTCACTCGCCCAAATTAACTACAATTTAACGCATTTTTCTTCAGCAGGACAAATGAATGGTCAATTGAGAGGAATAAAAGCGACCGCCGGCTCAATTATTGTACATTTTAATTTTTGCGGTTTTTATTTTATCCAAAAACTCCTATAATTTTTGGAATTAATCAACTGTAATTAAAAAAGTGGAAAAAACGAATCCTTTTCTTTTTGTATCATTTTCATAAAGGAGATTAAAAGTTCATCAGGATCAAGGTAAATTTTGTATAAATGCAACCAGCGCTGCACCTTTTCTGAATTGAAAATGTTGCGACGCTCTTTCTCTCTTTTACTTGTTTGCAAGTGCCGTTAGAAAATTATATTCCTGTCCTGGCGGTCGCAGACGCACATCCTCATTGTTTCCCTCGGCGACTTTTAATGTTCGTATAAATATATTGGCGGTGCTGCACACGTCTCGGTGCGTGCGGAATCGAATTGATTGATCGATGGCGGCGATTATCGCGTCGAACGCCGCTTTTTGAATAAACGCCTTGAGCTACGTCGAGCGAATCGAATCTGCATTTAATATCCATCTCCGCGACTGCAGTGAGATTCTATTTGCATGATTAGCTGCAGTTGTTAGGGCGCAGTGCTTGCTGCAGTTAGTGCGGCATCGCTGATTTTGCAAATTGAGCGGCGAATTGCATTAATGCAAGTGCGCTCGCTTGACTTCCTCTACAACGCAGGATGCGCTTAGCTCGATTGCTAATTGCAGTAATGAATATAATTATATGACAAGAAGTATGCATCAAGATGATCTTTGACTGTAAGGATTTAAAATAATTGTTTCATTATTTTCGAGAAAATCACAATAATATAGAAAAACTTTTTTTTGATAAATTACTAAAAACATGTTTTTTATTTAAAATTTAATTAAATTTCTCTATTCCTCTGTTTCAGTCATCACACACGCACCACAACCTGGGAGGACCCGCGCAAGACGCTGGCCGCTCAGGCCGCCCAGCAGCACCAGGCGTCTCAGGAGCAGCTCCTGGGAGCCACCTCGCCACATCCTGCCGCCTCCCCGCAACCTCAAGGTATTACCAAAGCAACTTTTTTCACTCCCTGCATCGTACCAAACTCTTAGCGTATCAGGTGACAGCACTCGTCTTATATTTTCACACGGTTTTAGTAAATTAAGTTCGAATTCTTAATTTTTTGATAAAATTATGTTGGAAACTTTGCTAAAATGTCACCATATTAGGTCTAAGTTTTTTCAATTGAGTAGATAAAGCATTGACAGTATATAGTTGTTACGTAAAAAAAGCATATCGCACCATTATCGATTAAAAACGGCTCACTCCTGTATTTACCGTCCATGTGATAATTCCACGGGAAACTTGGCTGTGTGACGAAATTAACACGCACTCATTGATTTTCACTCATTCTCGTGTGTGTGCGATGGCGACGACCTCTAATTCTGTGGACTGTTTATTTTCTGTATATTTCATGGTTTCTTCAGCTTTTGCGTCACCAATCTTAGTCAACCCCTCTCCATAATTTTCCATTTCATTGAGGTTAATTTAAAATATCCCCAATTTCCTTAATTTTATGTTAACTCTGTACAAATTTTATTTTCATTCATCCTATATTTTTTTTAATATTTGTAAAAAAAAATACACATACACGAGTTCATAGTTAAGTTTTTTTGGGCACTGCATCAGTTCTGTCCACCAATAATCATCACTTTAAATTAATAAATTGTGTGTATGAGTAGCGAATGTGAGCGTGTGTGTGACTGCACCTTTCGCATGCACCCACCGCACACAGAAAAGCATACACACGGCGCGCGGTCCCGGCTCGCTCCCACGCATTTCGAATTTATTGCCTCGGGGGCGGCACTTCTTGAATTTCAAAGGCAGACCAAGATAAAGAGCCGAGTGCAGTTGCCAAGCACTTCTCCCAAAGCAGGCCCTAATGAAACCGTGTGTGCAGCCGCCACCCCCGACTCGACCACCAGCGGCGGGCGCGGGGTGCTCGCCCCCGGCCGACTCCAGCAGCCCCCGCCCGGACCGGCCGTGACCTCGACGTCACCAGCGGCCGCGGCCGCCGCCGCCGGTGAGCTCGGCCCCCTGCCCGACGACTGGGAACAGGCCAGCACCCCCGAGGGCGAGATCTACTTCATCAACCACGTGACCCGCTCCACCAGCTGGTTCGACCCCAGAATACGTGAGTCTGCAAACAAGCGCAACCAGATTGAAAAAAAAACACAAAACTGTCTACCTCGACCTCTGCTGTTGTTCTTTCCCGTGGGAGTTTTTAGGCCTTTTCAGTTTTTGTCTGCTTCTCTAGTGACATTGATAGATTTATACATTTTCGGAGAAATTGCCGCATTTTGGCTTTTATTTGATTTTATTATATGTTTGATTACACGTCGTCCTTTGTTGTTTTTTTCCCGAGTCAAAATATTGCAAGTCGCTGTGTAATCCCTTTATGCAAATCTCCCCTTCAGAACGCAAAACAGTAAAGACGCTTGACATTCAGACGGTCGTCACGAAAGGAAAAGCGTCTAATCTACATTCCCTGCATAATTCAGTTCCATGACTAGCTTCCATTTAAGCACTCCGTTTCAATTACCCCTTCATCGCAACGTTTACTGGCAAACGTGCAATAACTTTTGTTTATGCTACCATTTAACATGCAAAAATCAACCCCTTTAATAAATCCATCATTTCTTTGCTAATAAAATTTTATTTCAAATTTGATATACAATAAATAAAAGGAGTATAATTATTGAAAAAAAAAATTGAAAAGCAAATTATTTCATTCATTATTCATTATTTTGAAAGTTTGTCGTGAAGACTACCCCTGAAATATATCCCACTATATCAAAGTCATATTAATGAGTGCCCAAATCAAAGTGTTTACAAAGTGCGGCGAGTTCTCCACTTGTTTCTCAGAATTCCTCGAATTGAGGACGACGATTTTTATCGCTGGTTTTGCGTGTGCCGAGAATTAATGTATGAAACATTCAAGCTGCTCGATTGCATGCCGTGTGTGTGCTGTGCTGTCTTTTCTTCTTTCATGTGCTGGGCTGCGACTCTCGGCAGGTCGATACCATGAAACCTGCACGCATTGGCGCGGTGGTGGTTTGTTGTGGACATTGCACAACCTAATGTCACCTGTTAAAGCGGTGCTTGTGCTCTGGTGGTGGTGCTGAAATTATAATTTTATGACAAATATATAGCGAAACACGAACGCTTCGATCACATTTTAAATTTTTTATGAGGAGCTAAAGCAGGTTCGGGAATTCACAAACAATATCGATACACGCTGCTTTCGTGGTCAATGCTCCTACCTTTTCCGCCGCTCCAGATTGACCTTTGCGTTTCGGAAAACACACATGCGATTTGAAATAATAAAAAACACTCGGCAGGCAAAAGTTTCCACATAATAAAGTCATTGGCGTTGGTTTAGACAAAAAAAGGCTTGCTGTGGTGTGTAGGCGGTGCACACAAAGAGGGCTGTTACCTGGGAAAGCGTTGCACCCTCATTTCGCGGAAGCAATTGTGCAGGATTGTAAGTATAGTTTATAGGTCACGTTGAGACGCAGAAAAGATTATTGGTTTAATTTTATATTTACAAATAAGAAAATATATTTTTGCTTAATTTAAAAATTGCTTCTCTTTCCAGTTTTTATACATTCTATAAGTTTTTGCTTTCACCTTAAATAAATCAAATTATTTAAATTGTATTATTCAGAGAAATTTTAAATAATTATGCCAGTACTTTTTAACTACCATAAATTCATATAAAAAAGTTTAATATAAAAATTGGGCATTGCAATTAAATCCAATGGGTCATCTAATTTTTAAAGAAATTTGCATAATTTTAAACAAGTTCTTTTTTTTCATTCTTGATGCATAAGTATTAATTATAATTTTAAATATATCCGCTTACAACCCGAAAGAATTGTTCTTGTCAAAAGACGTATCCGTTTCACCAGCTGAATCAATGTTGTGCTTGTTCATCAAAAAATAAATACGTGCCATTAATTTTTACAACGCGAAATTTCCATCAATCAACTTAACACGTACACACGTGATGAATCCCGCGTGGGATGATTTAGGCTTGACTGCGCCGCGACTACATCTTTGTTATTCGCCTTTTTATTGAGGCGCTTTCTTCGTATGATTTTCCCTGGGCTGCGTGCACAATGTGCAATTCATTTATTTTGCCCTCTCTCTCGCTCGTTTGCTCTCTCGCGAGAAAGAGAATCAATTCCCGTAAAGGACAATGAATCACATACACGCCGCCGTCGCTGGTAACAGTACAAATACTACTTGCTTATTTATTATTTCCAGAGCCATTTGTATGCGCGGCCTCCTCTCTCAGGCCCTTTTCGTTGACCTCTGCTGGTCAAAAGCACATGGGAAGTATAAATGATATCTGTGCCGTGCTGAGAGCGCCCAGCGAAAGGCTGCACAGCTCTGTTGATACCGAAAATGAGCCCTTTTCCTTGTGCAAAAATTCAAAATGTCTGTATTTATTTTAAAAGGCTCTTTAAGCGAATTGATTAATTTTAATATGAAGAGGCCAAACCCGAATTCGACAGCTCGCGTGATTTAAACCGAAGGAGTTTTGATTTGATTGATGGAGGAAAGTGCGGGTCCAGGCAGGAGTCGAACCAGAGGCTACAACCGGGGGGCTGACCCCTGTGGGGTCACACTGCAGCCACCATACATAGGAGTTTCTGCTGCTGCTGCTCTCTCGCCTCCTTAATAGAACGTGAGACAGATTTATGATGGTGCTCAGCGCGCGCGGCGGTCCGTCCGACGCTTTAATAATTATTAGATAGATGATGATGATGATCAAACCAATACCTCCATCGCGTCACTCAGCCGGCTTACATCATGCATGATTGTGCTCTCTCTTGCGCGGCCCGCATTATTTGTTTCAATCACGGCCACTTTCAAATCACACGCTGGTCTCGCCACGCTGAGATTATTATTCACGTTCGTAATCCGCGTCCACTTCCTTGAAGGAAATCTATCTGCTCAAAAGTCAATATTGAATGTTTAGAAGATATTGATAAATAAATAAAGCTCAATTTAAATCAGAACAGAGTAAATTATTTTTTGATTAAAATTCATTAGTGGATTGTATGAGAATTTTATGGGTTTGAAAGCAAAATAATTATTTTAAACTGTATTTTCTGATACTGTAATTAAATGGATGACATCTGTGCCATGTACAATCTTATTACGCACTTGCTTCGGCGTCATTGATAAAACTGATACGGCAACACTTGTTCGGGAGATTATCAAACACCGATAAAATGACAGAGCAAGTGCTGCAACAATCGCAATTGACAAACGGCACAAGTGTTTGCAAGAGATAAGCACAAGAGCTGCACACTGGGCTCGCTTTGCGCCGTCTCGATTTCAGCGAATTTCTCTTCTTCTTTTTTTTAATTCGCCAGTGTTTTTCAACTCGTGATTTAATTTTCGTTGAAATTTGACGCGTGACGTCACAAATTTGTGGCGCCGGCTCTGTTTGCTGATTAATTTTATTGTCTCCGAGCGGCAGAGGAAAAGTGCCAGCTCGGAGACACGGTCAAAGTACAACTGATTACCTTGACGGAATCGTTTACACGGTGCAAATCGTGATTGCGAAACTCGCTCTGTTAACGACAAAAATAGACAGAATTCAACTTCTATGGGGAAAGCTGTAATGAAAAAAAAATGAACAAAAAATAAATAATTAGAAAAATTTAAATGACAATTATTACCATTTTAAAGTTAACTTGTAAATAAATATTTCATGCCCTTTTTTTAATTAATTCAATTGTGGTATCAATAGTGCAATTTAATTGTAAGTCCCACAATATTTCTTTAGCTTTTTTTTTATTTTGATGAAAATTTTATTTCTATTTTTAATTTAATAAATCTAATAAAACGTCTAAAAAAAAATTTATTTTGTCGCAAATTTTTTATCTCTGCGGGAAATCATCAAAGTTTCATCAATTCATTAGCCATGGGAGGTATATCTATCGTCATTGGCAGGTGATCAGCAACAATGGCCGATTAATTCCAAGAAGCCGATTGTCGCTTCCATTTGGCGTGAGAGATCGAGCCCATATTGGTCCACTGCATCCTCTCCGCCTCGTATACTGACCGAACTACACACGGCTCGTTATCCCGTCCAGCAGGCATGTCCGGTGCTCATTAGTCGCGGCCAGATAAATTATTATTCCGGAATAAAAGAGCACCACTTACTTACATGGAAACGGTGAGCGGGACCCTCGGTCTTGACCCTGCGCGCGAAATTTATGCAGCGGCCTCTCTGTGCGTTCATTTTTTTCCTTCCTCCCCGCTCAGCATTTCGGGACTTTTTCGTTTATTATCATTTGCGTCTGCCGCGCACGGCTCTTCGGTTACCGAGAAAACGAGCGTCGTCGTCGTATTTAACTGTTTATTCCGAGATTTCTCACCGTGCGTTTGTGATGCTGCGGCCGTCTGATTCTTTCTCTCAAAGGGAGCGCGCCGCGTCATTTACATTTTTATGTGTACAACAGAGTCATCCACCCACGTGAACGTGTAATTTATTTATTGCTTTCTGATAAAACGGCCGTGCTGTCGCCGCAAGACAAATATTGAAAAACACGTGGAAACGAGATGCTCGTAAATTCGGTGAATTATATAAAAGACAAAGTGAGCATACGAGAGTTCCGTGCCTGCCGCACGGCGAGGAGGCGTTTTTCGGGCATAAATCGTCGGCTCCTTTCAACTTCTATATAAATTAGAGAGACAGGCTGCGTTGTTGCCTCTTAAATTCTCGTAATTGGATTTTCTTTTTCAGCTGTAAATAAACACATGCCAAAGTTCAATTTTTGAAAACGACAAGAATTTAAATTAGCCAAAGTCGTGCCCAAAAACTATTGAATAAATTTTTTCCGCCAACAAAGTTTTCTTGAATAAATTAAAAATGATGCGTAATTGATTTTGAAATATCCTCGCAATTTTTTAGATGGAAACAAATGAGCTCAATTAATTAAATGCTCTAGTTTCGTGTTGCGCTTTGATGTAAACTTTTCCGTCAACAGCACCGCGAAATTGGCACGGCTCTCGTTCGCCCGCGTTCAATTCTCCGCCAAGTTTAGAAATCTGTGGGAGTCTCGCGCTGGCTGGCTGCTGCGGTGCACACATTACTGCAAGAGCGACATGTAATTCCTATACATATTGTAAAGTGGTCAGTCGAGATTACCAACGACGCAGTATGTATACGTGAAATGAAAGGCCGCTTTCAGAACCTCCACAAATAATAATCCCGGCGCTCACACTGAGCTGGTCTCGTCGACTGCAAACATCAATTACATGTACATTTGTAATTACATTTCTCAACTGTATAATATACTAAATATTTATTTTTTTTTATCATTGTGCAATTATTGTGTGCGCTCACGAAAAAACCGAGGTTCAAATATTTAGCGCCGGGCGCCGCGTTATGTCACGTTTGGCAAACAACAACAATTAAGAGGCCTAGTGTAGCATAACTAGCTAGAGAAAGAAAAAGTGAAGCAGCACCTCGCTCGGTCGCTTCAGTGACAGTGCACGATAAGATTAGGGGCGCGGGCAAAACAACGGCGCGCAGAAGAAATTAACAAGGCACTGACGTACTCTCTCGCCGCCGCCGCTTTATTTATGCGAAGGTTCGATTTTGTGTCGGCGGCGACCGAGCATGTGACCGACTTGGCTTGAGATTAAAAGTTGCTCTAGCCGCCGTGTGCGAGATAACGACAGAGCTAATTAGCGCTTAGCAACTAGACCTCGCAGTGAATTTGCATTTTACCTAGATTAATATTTTGCAAACAAACAGTACATGCAAATTGGCGTGAAATTCGTGTGAGTAATGAGTCAAGTGAAGGTTGAGCAATAAATCGACGTGCCATTTACGTGATGTTCAATGTGATATCATACTTTTATTTATTTTCTTCCGCGCCGCACAACGCAGTTGCACGATGCAAAACGAGGAAAGTCCGGTTTTGTGTTGCTGGAAAGCACGTTCGCTCGCGTATATGCTCCGAAATCACCGTCCCATTGTTCTCGAAAAATGATCTGAAACGATGATTTATTATTTGTTCGTAACGGGTTCACACCGTCGCTGGAAATCAAGTGTGGGCTTATTTAAGCTCTTTTTTTTTAATAAATTATGCAAATTATTGGAGAACAACCGTGTGCAGCGGAGGTAAATTACTCTCAAGGCGCATGTAAATAAATTTCAGCTTTATAGTAGCCATCATCGCGCCTCCAACCATAATCCCAATAAAATTTATGGCAAAATCATCTCTCGGCGGACATAATTTTCTTCCTCAATCCCTTCGGACAATTCGTGACTTTCGAAAGCAAATTCAGGGATTTTAATTTCTCTCGATCTCTCGGCGATTTTCTCTCGCGGCGGACAATGAGATGCATTATTTATAAACTGAAAATGCACACAGCCGAAGAACAAACACCGCGGCAGGCAGAGCTAATGAACAGAGCCGGCCAGACGTGCACCAGGAAAGACCAGTTTTTTGTTCTGGCCTTTCGGCTCATTATAGGTTCGATTCAGGAGTTTTTTGTTGCCTGCGCTCTCCACTGATGCATGCACATATATATACGAGGAGCGGTGTGTATTTTTATAAATCCAGACCCAGCCAGCATCCAGCCAGAGAGTCAGTGTGAAGTTGCTGAGCTGTCGGCGAAGTTCTGAGGATCAAAAGTGACGTCACTTTTCTCTCCTCCATTCGCTCGTTCTCTCTCTCTTCTCTTTCGCCGTGTGTGTACATGTAATAATGTAGAGGCACCTGTCTCACGGGGAACAAGAAAAAGGAGGCACCGTAATCGCCTCTGCTTCTCTGCTGCGTGACCTCCGCTTGCCTCTCTTGTTTTACGAATAATCTCCAGTCGGCCGACGCACGGAACCGAAAACGCAATTGCCTAATAAGTCGAAAACGAATGCGAAACAAGATTTTCATTGGAGTTATTATATTATAAAAAATAATTTAAAAAAATTGCAAAAAAAATATTTCTTTAAATGAAAAAAAAATAGAATTTTTGCTCTACCCTTTCAACTCTTTTTTTCTGATAGATTTAGTTGTTTATTTCTCTCATTTGGGATTTACTTCAATACTCTTTACTTTCTCAGGCCTCTTTAGTTATAGTTTTAGATTGAGGTAGATTATTTGCAAATATTCTGATCCATATCAAATATTGTTTATTCTAACCTTTACTTTTTTGTTATTTTTGCAGCCATGCACCTACAACGACCAATGCTGTCCCAGCTGCAGAACAGCGGCCTGCCGTCGCCTGTGATGGGGGCCACGGCGGGGCCCAACTGGCCCAACTCGCTGTCACAAAACTTGCCCTCGGCTCAGAAGATGCGTCTGCAGAGCTTGCAGCTGGAATGCGAACGTCTTAAGCAACGACAACACGAAATTCGCCAGGTAATTTGTTATTAATTTATAATTTATTTAATCTTCTAGATATTCCAAATACAGTTTATATTATTAAGAAATTGAGAGAAAAAAATCTAGAAAAAAATGAGAAAAAGAGTATTATAAAAAAAAAATGTAGAGATACATAATTTTAAAGGTCTAAAGAAAATATGGACCGTTGAACATTATTCAGCTAAGTTTGGATGATTTGTTTTTTCCTTTTTTCTATATAACCATTGATCAGTAATTTAATATTCATTTTTTTTTTCAAGTCAGTCTCCACAGGATTTCAACATTTTTTTTTTTACGATTTTTATTTTTAATTTCTTTTGGCTCATTCAGATCAGTCAATTAATTTCAATTTATTTTCAGCAAGGGCTGATGATGCGGCAAACGACTACCCTGAGCGAGGAGAGCTCTGTGAGCAATGTTGTTTGTGGACCCACGGGAATGGACCCCTTCCTTAGCAGCCTGACCGACCATTCGCGCCAGGAGTCTGCAGATAGTGGTCTCGGCATGGGCACTGGCTACAGCCTGCCACAAACACCAGATGATTTCCTCAGCATGGATGACAATATGGACAACATGGACATCAATGGTGAGTTATTTTCTTGAGACTCGATACATTGCTAAGACAATTGTATTTTAATCAACAGAGAGTGGTCCTGCAAGTCAAGAAATGGCTTCGTTAGATGGACCCGACATCAGTTCTCTCAGCTCAGACAATATTGACTCGACTGATGACCTCGTCCCGTCCTTACAGGTAGAATTAGAAATTAATTATTTTTTTGCTTATTAATTAATAAAATAAATTTTCCAGCTGAGTGAGGATCTGTCAAATGACCTGCTGCAGTCCATCATAAATAATGCTGGCAAGAATGACAACACGCTCACATGGCTCTAGTCTGCTTTAAGTTTGAATCGAAGTAATAACTTTTCTTTCTCACGCAAAACGTGTATGTGTGCTTGCTGCACACACGCCTAGTTGTGTCCATCCGATATCACCTCTTCACAAAGATGGTCAGCTGAGAAGATTTAATTTTGGTGCTGTCCAATGCAATATATTATTTTGTTCATTTGACAAGCTTCAACAGTATGTCTTGTTTCTGTTTAAAATGTGCCACTTAATGAAACACACACTATGTTATTACTATTACTGCTATATAGAAATTAATTAATTAATTATTTGCATATTAAATTAATTTGGTTAATAGAGCAAAATAACACAAAAGCAATGCATTCAAGTGAGACAAAATGCGGTGGTGTGAATGTGAAAATGACCGATGTTCTGCAGAATGTGTTTTCAAATTTTATGTTGCTCAATATCCATCCCGTGACAGCTATCGATGATTTGTCGACGATGAGAAATGTATGATAAGTATTATTATGTGTTACTTCTGTTGACAAGTAGAGAGTACTTAACTAATTGATTTATGTATGGTGCCTTTTACCACTTTTGTAGCGACAGAGTGCCTTCTAATTTGGTAGCTGAAACACCAATTTTGCTCATTTTGATTTTCCAGCCAGCGACTTCTGAGCATGTAATAATTAATTTGTGCTATTAGCCCCTGGATGAAGTGTAAATCATGTAAAGTTAAAAATTTTGATTTTAAGTTCGCCAAGTGGAAAAATTGGCAACACTATGGGTCTCAGCTAAGGAAAGCAAGTTGCTGATTAACATCTATTTACATAGAAAACCAATTTTATTATAATTCAGGCTGGAGTCCCAAAAGTAACGCAATAATTAAAATGCTCATTCAAACCCCACAAGCTCAGACACTCAATCAATTTATTACGACCGAAAACGAAACAAATCAAAAGCAAGCAACCTGGGCTAAATGAAGATAATTTAGCCTCCGAGTTGCTGTATGCGCCTTAAAAAAAAAAGAGAAGCTACTCTTTTGTGCCTCCTAAAGTACAAAAGCAGGCAGTTAACATGCAACTGAGGAATCCTTTTTTTACATTTCGGCGAACATTTTGTAAATTTTGAAAATGATGAGAAACTATGAGTGTGCCTTCAAGCGTCCGTCCTATTTATTATAAATAATAATAATAATAGAGTAATACATTTAAGTTTGTATTTCTTTACGATAACAATCTACTTCCACTCTATGATGAAGCAATCAAATGTATTTATTGTGCTTGATTTTTTTTATTATCAAAAAATCGAATTTCGGCAAGCATTTTAAAGATAATATTCTCTTCTCTGTACTGCTATTATTCTTATTGAACAATTATTAACGCCTCGGTGATAATGAGAACAGAAATTAATTGTGTACATGCATGACATAGGCCTAAAAGTGCAATAATCGATTTTGTAAATGTTATCGACTTTTGTGTACAGAGTGGGATGGAGTTGATTCAGTGACTCCCAAGAATTGGAATGACAATCAATCATGATTATGTAATGAGTTCGCCTTCATTGCGTTCTTTTTTCTCTCTGGATAATTTTAAGGGCCCCCTGTCTTGTGAATGTGCGAGCGCGAGAGACTGGTGGTATGAAAATGTATCACACTCAAAACACAAAAACCTTTTGTGGTATTATTCGCGTTAATCAATTGATTTATGAAATAATAATGCATCCCCGTCCGTCATTATTGTGACTCTGATATTGCGATTTTTTGTAATATTCTTGGTGTTGGTGCTTTAAGATTAGCAGAGAGTAACAAACACTCGTATTAATGTGGTAACGATTTAATATTTTATAATAATGCAGAGGATAAATAAGCGCAGCGTTGTAACTGACTTTGCTGGATTCGCCTGCTAGGCGATGATTCTCATTTTTACTCTCTCTCCTGTCAAACACGTTTGGACTTTTCATGTGTCGAACCCCTTGTAGAAACGATGCATTGCCTCATGTGCACCAAAAGAAACACCTGAATTTTCTGACACACCTGTTCACCTGCGGAAGCTTCAAAGTGCAAATAAATATTTACTATATTTGATGCAAATCTTTTTAACATGTCACTGAAAGCAGCTTATTAATGATTAATTACAAAAAATTATTGTGACTAACATGGCGTGACTCTCGACTAAATATGGTCCGAGTCGTTGAATTATATCAAAAGCTGTGCAGCTTGAAGTTTAATTTCGCAACAGCTAGGAACTTTTATTTGATGTTGGAAATTATATGAAGGAGACTTGTATTTTTTCATTCAGTGTAAATAAAAAAATGCAATAAATATCGCAGCTATTCTAGTTTCATTGATGAACCTTCTTCATTTGTAAATATTAAAATAAAGAGGGAATTTGCAGAAGCTAATAAATCATCCCAATCGTCTTGAGAAGTATTTTTTTGTCTTTATTGTAGCTAAAATTGTAATCAGATCGAAGAGATTAAGTACAAACTATCAATAACAAGCGCTTTGGGGGTGCAGATTTTTTTTACAATCGCCAGATGTGAGTAAAAAATCTGGGAGAGTGCAAAATTTTGGCAGCAGTCTATGATCGGCATGGGTAAATTTTGAGTTACGAAATACTGAAATCTTAAAGATCAGGGCCAATTGGAACACAATAAATGCATGGGCCTAATCGAGGAACTGCTATGAGATTGCTTGCTCAAGACTAGGGAAACAGGCTTACACATGATTTGTTCTACTGAAATTTCTCATGGATTGGCTAATAAGTTATTTAATAACCCTAGAGGTGGTACGAGTTTTGTAATGTTGATTACTTTGCGCTGTAAACTGAGATGGAAACGATGAGTCGGTTTAACCAAGCAATGTGCCCAAGGCCAGGCCGGCCGCGTACGAGGCTGCGAAAATGTGTAGTTCTGATATTTGGAACTCGTCCCTGTCATTTGTAAACCAACGGCGCACCTTCTGTTCCTTCTTTTTCAAAACGCCTTCCGCTTTGTCAATCTTTCGGTTTGCAAACCTCTCCAACTGTAAGCACACAGACAGGCTAGTTAGTTGATTAATTTAAGTGACAACAAACATTAAACTTTTGTACAAAATTTACAAATTAATTTCAATTACAATTTCCAAAGAACCGTCTCTTGTGCTTACAGAAGATTTAAACTCATGTTTGATTAAAATGAGAAAAATATTTTCTTCTACATTGAACATTTTTTATTATCTTATAGGATTTAAGATCTGAGGACACTTATTAACTGGCACATAGCTTCAAAATACCCATTGGCCATAAATCAAAATAGGCCATTCCAAAAAGCAGATTCGTAGGTTTGTAGCTAATGATTAAACTCTAGTGGTAAAATTGAAGATCAGTGCGCTTATGACATTCCAACGCCTACGAGAAAGCCACTGACAAACCCTGCAGCGACATATTGGTTTTCGGAGACGAATTTCTTCACCTTGTCCATAGTGCTCGGCCCGGCGCCTCCCGCAGCTTTCTCCACCTTGTCCACCGCCTTGTCAACAGACCGGGACAGCTTGTCCCAGTCCACAGAGATATAACCCTTCTGGTTTGCAATTGTCAAAAGAAGAATGCCTCCTCCAAGGGCTGTTGCGGCAGCTTTGCCAACTCGCATGGAGATGAATCCAGTGCATCTGGAATTATCAGAATTGTTCGATAAATTTCAGTATTTCTGTGATTAGTTTTTTTCTCAAATATGTGAGACATTTTAAAAATGTTATCTCAAATTAATTTAAAATTAAATTAAATAAAAAATTTACAGTTTTTATTTTACATCTAATTTTTTAAATACAAAATATTTTCTTACAATCCACTGGCTCCACCCCAAATAAGTTGTTTCGTTGCAGACTTTTTGCTGACATCTCCAAGAAATTTGTCAATAAAGTTTTTGGCGTCCTTGGCTGCTGCATTCAGGTCAACGATCTCTTTTCCGTCGGCACTGCCTCGTGGGATCGGCATTATTTTCTACCCTGCAATGTCATCACCATCAGAAATAGAATTTCGCATCACTGCCAGCAGTACATAGTGAAACTGGTAATTTCGCCAGAGAGCAATTTATATATAAGTCATTAATACACACTACAGCGTTGCTTGCGAAATTTGCATTTAAGTTTAAATTTACCTCTGCCGATGTTTTGGCCAAAGTAAAAATGGAAAAAATACATACACTCGCAGCTTGATCAGCTTTATTACACGATACCCATGTGATTTACAACTGGTTTTAAAAGCTCGGGAGGTGCGTCAGTAAAAAGACTTTCAAGGTTAGCTTTGCGATGCGGAAAAAAAGTTACATAGGCGACTGGGCGACGGGAACACTTGAACTTAATAAAAATTAAAAACGAACCATAGAGTAGTTGATGATTAGTTGTACAAAAAAGCAAGGGAGCAGGGGGTGCACAAGCATTGATCAGTGTAATAAGTGAATGGGAAATGTTCAGCAGCTCCCCACGCAGTTGTTAAAAGTAGAATTACTCAAGGAATTTGGAGCGATTGGGTTAAATTTTTACCTATTAATTCAGTCGTTGTGCTAAAGAGTGAGATTTTACTTGCGGAAACGCAAGGTAGAGGCGAAGTTTCAAAGAAATTCGATTTGAAAATGCTGTAAATCTCGACGGCAAAATGCAGAAATCAACAGCTGTACTAGGGAAATAGGGGCGGGGCTAAAATCTTATAATGCTCGGCGTTTATTGGTCAATTTTACAGAGGGAAATATTTATTTTATTTGAATGTTTTAAGACACGCAAAAAATTAAAATTTATAAAAATAAAAAACGTAAAAAACATACCTTGCTGTTTTATTCATAAAATAATATAAAAGAATGTTTTTTTTTTCGAATTCATGCGAAACGATAATTTTGCTCAAGAACTTTAGCAGGGATTCGAACAAATTTAAAAGAAGACCAAAAAAGCAGACTGAAGGGTCGGTGGCGCCATCGGTTGGCGTGCGCCATTATTAAATGACCGCTGTGGTGTCCGCCTCCCCAGCCGCTGGCTCCGTAGCTCGAATGGCAATCACAATCATTCGCGGCGCCCACGACAAAAAGCAACAAAAAGAGAGGAGTGTCTGCATTATTCGCTGGCCGGAGCCGCAGTGAAAGTTATTTACGTTACTTACTCATTACGCGAGCAGTGAAAGTGGACCTTCTTCCTGATGGCCTCCTAGGAGCCGCCGAAGAAGCCGAGAGAGCAGTCGCCGGAATGAATCCCGATCCGGACGATAACACGAACCTGACTGCCCAGGAGCTTCAGGTGCTCTCCGAGTTGGACAGGTACCGTCGCGGCCGACGCCGAACCGCACAATCCGCTAACCGCTCTTCTCTTTTGCAGCCGGCAGTTCGGCTTCCTGAAGCTCAACTCGCAGGAGCAGAGCAAGAAGAAGGCTTTGGTGTTGAAGGTACGGAGCACGTAAACAAACGCTTCTTGTCCGCCTGGCGAACGCGTTGCTCACCGCTTCGCCAAAAATGGCACCGGTTCCGCTAGTCCAGTTCTGAATTCGCCCCTATTCAAAATAAAAATCAAGAACTTTCAAATTGTTAACCAAAATTTGTAAATCTTAAATTCAGTCTGCCGGAATTTACAACTGGTGCCTCTTTGGTGCTATTTTCATTGACGCTAAAAATTTGCGAATCAATAAAAAAAATTATTGGAATTTGTCTAAAATTAAGATAATATTAACTAATTTTTCCTTTCCAGGCTGTAAAATGTCTCGAGGGCATGATTGTAGCAGCTCATCGGCAGAGGGAGCGCAGTCGAAGGCCCGAGCTGCCTTCGTCGACTTCGGACAGCACGCCTTCCAGCACGGTGCCGGACACCGAGCCGCAGGACAAGCATTCGTCTTCGAGTTCCACTCCGCAGCCGCAGGACGGCAAGGAGATCAACATCGACCCAAAAACCTTCTGCAAACTTGGTCACTTCCATTTGTTATTAGAAAACTATTCAAAAGGTTCAAGGGTCAATTCAAACTTGCGTCTGTTGGCTGATAATTATTTTTTTCCACAGCTATGTCAGCATATCAGAAGTTTCATAACCTGAAGCCTGACCATTGGAAGGATTCGGCGTTTTTATACGGGCATGGATTAGTCTACTTCCATTTCAACGCCTTCCAGTGGTGAGTACAAAAACAAATTTTCATCTCAAAATTTTCTTTCATCACTGATGAATTTTTCCCACGGACTTATTAGCAATAGGGATTATTTTCAAGGTTTTTCAGTACGGGCGTTTTTAAATGACTTTTTATAGTGTAGGCGAAAGGAGTTTCACCAAGAGTTACGGTTGAATTTACGAGGCCCTCGCTCTAGTTTCAGATTTTTACTATTGCAACACTTGCATTTTTAACTAAACAGAGCGGCGCTTGCTGCTGCTGCTGCCCATAGAGCAAACAAGTCGTTAATTTATCCTCAAGTGAGAGATACCTACAAGGTAAACTCACTTAGAGCCCTGACAAAATAGGTCAGAGCTTTTCATGTTTGTCTTTCGTTAGAGGAGCAAAGTCTGAGCCAGAGAGTTTATCACCCTAGAGATGAACTCCTTCATTTTTTCAATGCATCGTCTCGAAGGGGAATCAGAAATTATTATTTGGTCCGCATCCTTATCAGCAACGGAGCTATTACGCAATTATTTCAGTCGTGCAGACGAGGCTGATTCAAAACTCGCATGCAGCCGAGTGGGAGGCGACGGGCAATTTCTGTTATTTTTTTTTCACTCGGTACTGAACACAGAGCCGTACGTACACCGACGTGCATTGTAAAAAGAAAGAAAGAGGAGGGACGTGGCGGCGGGCTCTGCACAAGGTCAACAGTCCAACAGCCCCACTTGGTTAGTTGGTTGGTGCACGGAGGTTTTAAATCCAGATCGGGTACTCTCGTTTAAATGCCGCAATGGTCGGTTGGATGCTGCGATACTGCTCGGTACAAGCGCTTTGGCAACAGCAAAAAAGTTGAGATTTCAGTGCCCCCCTCATTTTTACCTTACTCGTTGCCAAGTGCTCAAGTTGTGAATCTTAGACTTGAATTTTTCATATTTTGAAAAAAAAATCAAACCCTATTGCTTTTTAGCATTCATGAAACAATATATTTTGCTTAATAATTTCCATGATTTAAATTCCTGGCTTCTTTTATAACGAAACCTAAAAAAGGATAATTATACCAGGTACGCCATACCTGTGTGTTGGACTGACAAAGCATCCAATTTGATTTTGTTTCAAATTTTTGCAAAATTAGGTCTCGGTTTCCTGTTTGATAAAATTTTTTGAAAACTATTAAAAAATTTGTGTCGCTGTTTCCCCCTTGCAAAACATCAAAGAATAATTTTAAAAAAAATTATTATTTAAATTTTTTTACATATAATTTTTTTAAATCATTATTCGACGAACTAATTGAATTTGTGAGCCAATATTATTTTAAAATTCATCCGTTCATTAAAAAACTTATATAATTACTTTGACAGGCACTCTTGGTACTATTTGTGGTTTATATGAGTACAAAAGAAAGTGAAAACAAGCCCCACTTTTAGTCTGCCAGTCCAAATTTAGAGCGTCGCCCTTTCTACTTTTTTCTCCGCTTTGAATTTGGGCCACCGCCCGCCTTATCTTGCTCGCTGATAAAAACGCCGAAAAATTAAGTCATCTGGTTATTTGTTCGTCCGCCGCTGGGAATCTTTTCTTTCTGGTCTCCGAGTGCAAATTATAAACACGCAGGCCGCACGTAACCCCTCTTTTGCACAGCAGTCGGTTTTTCGCGCTCAAGGTCGCTCGGCGCCTTTTTTACGCCAAGTCTGCTCTGCTGCCGGTGGTTCGGTGGACGCAATCGGCGAAACTAAAGTAAAAAAAGGAAGGACCAACACCTGTTGCCCACTCGAACAATGCCCCATTATTCGGGCGCACTGAAATTCAATCCGGCTTAACGGGTCAGAAATTTAAAAAAAAAAATACTTCCTGGAAATTATCCATGGAAAATTTCTGCTTCGGTTTTCATCTTAAGTATGACTGAAATTTTGACTGAAAAATAAGCGTTCCAAACTTAAATGCGCTTATTTCAATTTTCTTTCAAGTTTTCTTTGAAATAATTTCACGCAGTGCATTTTAAATTTCCCTCTTTCTTTTGCAACGCGATGAAGTTCCGACGCTCTCCACCAGATGGCCAACAGCGTCGAGTCGAGCGCATTTTCAAAAATAATTTATCCCACTGCAATCCCTCCCTACCATTTGGAGATGCATTTTGTTGCACTCAAGAAGGACTTCTTGGTTGCACTCGTCTTTAGTCCATAAATGTTACGTAACCGATTTTTGGCTCCGAAGCAATGGAATAAAAATAATCTATTTAAAAAAGTGCTTCCTGAACGGAGAACATCCGGTGCCTAAAAATAGAAAAATGTGATCTGCTTGAATGATGGAGCATAACAATGCAGAGAGATACACTTCATAAATAGAAGATACTTTTTTGTGGAGGGTTGACTTTTGAACTTTTTTAAAGATTAAAATGAACGGATATAATTTTTTTAACACTGCTAGACAACAAAGTAGTGAGGCAAAGTGGAAGAAATATACTTGATAATATATATTTTTTTAAATTTCGTTGTTAAATAAAGTCTCAAAATTCTTAGTATGTCTTATCAGGATTTATACATATCAATTTCCTCAAAAAATAAAAAAATATTAATTTCAACTTTTCCTCGTCTATGTATTTATGCATTTTTAATCATTTAAAATTTTTCTTAAATTCATGACCAAATTATGGTTCCTATCAAAATGTTTTTTAGTACAAATATAGAATACTAAAGTAAAAACAATTTCATTCTTAGAAACACGACATATTATTTTCCTTTTTTATGTCCATGTCTGACAATTACAGAATGAGGCAAGCACCAAAGTTTTATTACAGTGCAGTGTCAATGCCACTGTCGGTCGTGTTGATTCGCACAAATTAGCGGACAAAAGGTGCACAATTACTGCATCGCTGGTGTGCATGTATGCAGATGTAGAGATGCACTCTGGTGAAAAGTACAAAAGCATGACGTCGTGCAAGTCGGGTTGGGTGAATGCACTGCGCTCATTGAGCCAGCCGGCCGCCGACTGACAGTACGTGCTGTGCTGAACGCCGCACATGGCGGTTCGCCCTCCGCCTCTCGCGGAATAGCACCGTGGCCTTAATAAAAGCTAACAACTAGAGTCTTGGGTGGCTTATCGGAGGACAAAGCTCATTACCGCTCAAAAGGAGTATGCAAATCGGCCCTATTACTAGACTCTGATCGAATGAGAGTGGCTCTTTGAAGTGTTTCGTCGGGCGCAATTCGTCAGCACTGATGATCAAAAGCAACTCACGAAGCCTAAAAATTAGTTTTAGCAGGACCAAGAGGAACGAAAATCCTCAAAAGTTCATTCAAATCTAGAAATCAGTTGTTTATATAATTAAAAAGCAACAAGTGTAAAACTTCATTTTATAAAAAAAAAATTTCCCACAAAATATTTTTAAAGTTCATATTTTTCCAATCAACCGCTCATTTTTCCTGTCAGTTTCAATTTGAGTTCTCTTGAGATGGAAGGGCGCGGGGGCGGTGTCTGCAACCTGCTCGACGAGTTTGTCGACCTGGTTGCATAAGCGTCCTCGGCGATTTCCACACGCTGTGGCGCCCTAGCCGGTGTGCTGCTTCTGAAACGCGCGCGGCGATTTTCGCAACAGAACGAACAAACGATCCATCTCGCCACTCTGGCAGCTGCAGCGATCAAGGCTTCGCTCCATCGTCTTAAAAAATTATGCAAATTTAGCCAGTGCACGCGATTCCTTCTCGCGTCGAAATGTGAAAAAATTTCCTCTCCCGCGGCATTCACGAAAAGTGGCATTGTCGCATCAGCTGTTGAGTGGCGAGCACGCTCTCTTGTCGCCCGCCTGCCTGCTCAAATTAATTTTGATAAATGACGCAGATTACGCGTCGAGCACGGCACTTGCAATTATCCACGTTGAAACGCACGTGGAATAAGGAGAACCCACCCTCGGAGGTTCATTTTTCGCTAATTGAGCATGTTGTGCTCGAGTGTGAACGTCAAAAGCGTGGATAAAGTGGAAGCTGTTGTGTTTTTTTTAATAATAATATTTTTTATTATAAATTAAATAAAACAAATTTTCAAAATACTCCCGAATAATATTATTTAATTCACTTTCAAATTATCAGAGAAGATGATAATATTACACAGTCAACAAATTAATGAATTCGCTGACAACTCATTTGATTATAATCGCATCGGCAAGTTCAATTTATTAATGAAGTAGCCATTGTCGTCGAATCGGTGATTAAATATTTCCCATGCCAAAAAGGGGTTAATGGCGCATTTCGGCGTCGCCTCGGGGGGTGGCAGCCCCCGAGCCGTGTGTGTCCTTCTGACTCATCCGCCGACGGATCAACCGCGTCCGATTTTTTAATGATTCCGCGCCACCCGGCAGATTTGGTTGGCGCGATATTCCACATGGCAACGTCGGTTCTCCCTTGAAAGTTGCCGCATCCACCCTGTATCGATTAGAGGGGACGCCGGGGTGGGGCGGCAACCGAGGAAGGGGTGTCCGACCGCCGGCCGTCTTCCTTCCACCCCGCGTGCGTGCGGGGTTGCCGAGATCCGTGCGTGCACCGCCTCTCTGCTGGATTCGCACTTTCGGCGCCTCCAATTTGCGGCGGCTCTGAAAATCGACTTTCGATTAATTATTCGCGGATTCGTGTTTGCGCCACGGGAGTTGCGATATTGAAATTTTAAAAGTGCAAAAAGAGAAAATTACTACATAAATCAAATGAGAGGAAATATATTTCTTAGTAAGTAAGAAAGTTTGTTTGTAAAATATCTAAAATTCCTTAATTTAATAAATTGAAAAATGTTTATTTTGATCATTTTATGAATTATAAAATAAACAAAGAAAAATTTAATTCCTCAATAAAACTATGCGTTCATTAAACAGTTATTTAACCTGATATAAAAATTCAAATTTGTTCATATTTATATGATTATAATTAGGAATCTTAAAATCTATTTTCTAGGGGTATTAATTAAAGTTTTATCTCAAATTTTCGATTAATTAAAAAGTTCTCAGCAAAGGTGCCGGTCACGCCCGATATCAAATTTAGATT